CAAATTCTTTCAGATATAAATCTTGATTAAATTCACGTTCATTATCAATATGTCGAATCATTTTATAACGTTCTTCAGGACTAACAACAGTCTTTTTTTCTATTTTAGCATGTTGTGCAGTTGTGAGTGATTGTAAATTTGTTTGTCCTTTATCAACATTAACTAATTCTATTGGTAAAAAATATGATTGATTTTCATCATTTGGATTATATACTTCAACAACAGGTAAATGTGGATTACATAAACGTATATTCAATTTATCACGAAAATAATCAACAGCTGTTATTTGTTTACTTCCATTTATTGTATATTTATGTTCACTTGCTGGACAACCAAATGATTTTAAACGATATTGACAAATTTTATTTGATAAACTTATTACAAACCAAAGAAACATCAAAATATTTTGAACCAATAATGGATGATCTTTTGGTGGAATACCTACAACGGAAAGATCAAGATTTTTATCAAACAATTCAAATAAATAACATCAACTTAAACTACTAATGAAAATTCTTACACTTATTATAATATAAAATAGTTTTTCACGAAAAACTCACCATATTTTCGAATATCATAATTTAAATAACAAGAGAGAAATTCAATTAAATTGTAATTTTGATAAAAATAACGATATATATTATTAATATTCAATGTTGGACCATGTTCACCAAAAACAATTGCTTGATAAAATCCTGATCCAATTCCTCGTCCACCACCTATAACAAAACAAAACTTATATTTAAAAACCAGTGAAATTCAATTTCTTCTTTATACCTAAATCATCCAAGGGTTGATATTTTGGATATGATTCATTTTCAATCGTAAGGGTGTGGGTGTAGTATGTGGGTGTGGGGTGGGTGGATAGGTGAGTGGGTGTGTGGGTGTGGTTGTCTTCACTGCCTATCCGCCCACATCCACACACCCACACCCACGTGATACTTCTTCTTGGATACTGGTTAAAACCTAAAGACAAAAAAGAAAAATGAATGTTCTGTGAAGTCACTCTTATTCATTTATTAATAACTGCACACATCTGAGTGGATGCAGATGTCGAAGTTGGTAAATTGAAGATCCATATCAATCTACTTTCACAGACACATGCACACTGTCTGTTTCGATTAAAATGTTTAATCATTTATTAGGATGGGTGGCGTGGATGTGGGTATATGGTTTCAGTGTAAATGAAGATTAGATTCACACCTGCGCCTGCACATCCACACCCACACTCTCATGTTACTTACCAGAGGTCCAACCAGGCCACTAGGCCTGCCTGCCTGCCTGTGACAGGCACAGGCCACGTTTTTTAGGCCTGGCCTGTCATAGGCCGGCCAGGCCGACCCCTCAACCAGGCCAGGCAGGCCGCTTAAAAACACCAGGCCGCCTGGCCTGTCTATATGCTTTATATATATAATCTTCTTTTCGATATAAATTTTTTAACAAATTCAAGGTGGTGCTAGTAATCAGTGGAACTATGGAATAATGTTCTGTCTTTATTCTGATTGATCGAAATGATGACTAATGATCAGCTCAAATCGCGTAGTTCATCTTTT